TTCTCATAATGTTGCATTTATTTTAATCAAATAATCAAAAAGCGAAGAATAACGTCCGGAGCCCTTCTAAGTTCCATTTTCTACAGGATTCAAAAAGAAATTGCTAATCATTCTTAGCTTGACGAAATTTTCGCGCGATGTGACCACCTGGCGCTTAATTTTTCTTATTTTGTGACGAATTCCCCTTTTTCAAAGTCCAACAGCTGCTCTCCTTCCCTGATAACCTAAAAGAACAATTGAGTACTGCCAATCAGTTTCATTGATCAGAAATGAAATGCAACGAAGAAACACGGGGTGGCTGTATCATTTAGAGACGATGGAAAAGCGACGCTTTTTGGAAAAATTGGAATAAATTTTTTCGCATTTTCATCCTGGAATTTCATATTGATTTTCGAATTCGCGACCAAATTTGACACAGTTTTCCTGTTGGACATTTTTCCGCAAACTTTAGGAATTCGAGATCCAACAATTTCTAGGTGGCTGTATCATTAGGAGACGCACTGTACATCTGGTATTTGAACTGATTGTGGAATAATGACATTCTATTACCGTGGTCGAAACACCGGCCGTCCGCTTGCATTCACGATAACGTCTGGCCTTCTTGACCTCTTCGTATGTGTCTTTTCCGTCGGCCGTGAGTGTTATATCATCTATAAAATTGCCTTATTGAAGACCAATACTAATAATATATCCCTGCTTCTCAAAGCTATTCATCAGAAAGAAAAAGACCAGAAAAAAAACGGAAGAGAATATTTACATAAAGAAGCTCATCAGCAGAGAAGAGTGGTCCTAAACATGCGTGATACTCCATGGTAGAATTTTCGGAAAAGCACGGAAAAAGGTAAAAAGGTATCAAGCTCTAGGTTTTGATATTGCATTCATCACTGATATCCAAGGTAGTCGGATTATAGCAAAGATTGCCCGCGATTATAGCAAAATATAGAAGAATGAAGTTTTCGTGTTCCTTAAACACATCCTTGGAATGCGCCGCGCACTCCATAATCCTTGTGGCGTTTAGTGGTGTTTGAATGAGATATAGCTCATATGAGACGCGGCGCCTACCAAAGTACAAGACAGTCTTTCTTCAATCCTTTAGGACGAGTCTGGCGCCAATAGTCAGACCCGGAGGACGTCAGGGGCTTGATTGGTTTGGAACACAACTGATGTGGCATTTAACTTCGGGAGTGTGCTTTGCAAGTGTGACGCCCGTTGCTGTTAGACAACCTCTACCCATAAATCAACAATAAATGCTATGAAGAAATATGCTGCAAGCAAAGATCTCATATTCCTATTTTTAGCGACTGATCAATACCTGAGGCCAAGTTGAGCATGTGGGAAATGGCAAATAGGCATGGCTCAGAGATCGACGCTCAAATCGGATCACATGTGTCAGCCAGGTGAGAGAAGCTTTTCACACTGTGGCTGCGTATACCACCGCTTGTGCAGCAAGAGCGCGCGAATTCTTCCCGAAGCGCGCAGCACGTGAATTGCCGCTTGTGGTGACGAGCAAGTATAGCCGGGTTACACGCAAAGATGATATGCCCCACGCTTAGCTCGCTGAGGACGATTTGTCTATCATTTGGGCCCCAGAATTCAGCGGCCTTGCGTGCGGAGATTTTGGTGAGTGGAATGTGTGGCAGACTTGAAAGATGATTAATTAGCGCCATCATCCTTGCTAGACTTATCCCTTTCCGTGAGCGCTTTATGATATTAGATCAGGAGACCTGCATACGTATTCCCAAACGAATAGCACTCAATTATTTGTTATATAATTAATTATTAACATTTATTAATTTAATGACACTAACCTCCGTGAACGCAAAAATCACAATCGTAACGATTCAAGGTTTCAACTGTGGTGATGTATGGTGCATCTTCGACCACCTGCAATATTTCGAAGTTTATTCTGAACGAAACAGAACGTCCATGGAAAATATGACAAGTTCAAACAAATATCGACATTGCATGACACGTGTGCAGAATTCAAGAGAAAGTTATTGTACTGTTACTGTTTACTTCCCACCGCAAGATGGCGAAATTTGTGATCAGATAAAATCCTAGTTTTATCACAGGAAATTTGATTCCCACTGAAAATGGTGGAGTATGTTATACATATACTATATAATATATATATTATTATATTATATATATCATATATATATAGTTACTATAGTATCTATTATAGTAGTGATATAAAAATATATGATGGATCATGTATTATATATAAAATATACTAATGTATTATAACATAGTATATATATAATATAATAAGTATTCGTAATATTATATATATACTATATATAGTAATATATCCCTGTATGTATAGTAGTATATACTAACATATATATGTATTATATATATTACATATATATAATATAGTATCAGGGTGTACTCAAAATATTGGCGCCATAGGTTTATTTGATCATAATTTCCAAAAGACAGGAACTAGTCCATATCTTCAGAGTTTATCTTTCCATATACAATAAAAACAATGAAAGATTCATTTCCCAAAGCAAAAGTGCTCGAGCACAGGCCTCCTTTGTCGCGAGGTCAGCTTGAAAGTCTCTTTTCAACTGACATCACCGGTCGCAAGTAACCGAGCGTCGCGCATGTGCGTAGATCGTCAGACTCAGAGTGGCGCACGGATTTTGGCAAAACGACAGGCAGTTGTTGATCTGGCTAGCAGACATTCTGCTCGACCTGTGTACGCAACAAGGACCGGTTTTCGAGATTTGTCAATGGATTTGTGCTAGGAATTACTCGCGGAAACGCATTATCCCTTGGCCGCCCCCCACGCTTCTGTGCTTTTGTGGCATGTAATCCATCATAATGCCAGCGTCCAGACGCTACCCGGAATACAAGTTGCCACGTAATGCCTTCGTTTCACAGTACTCTTTTGACCTCAGACGAACGTCCATTTGCATTCTTAAGCGAAGCCCAGGTGCGCTCTTCATGCTGCTAAATCCATGTTGGAGAAGCTGTACCGTCATTTTCCAAGTTACGCGGCACAGATATGTTTGGCCATCTGACTCGTCCTGATTTCAACCAGTTGCACTTGCGGTGTGTGGGTTTCTTGAAGGCAGAAGGTGCCTCTGAGCAACGCGCGAAGTTTGACCTCTCTGAAGTGCTTCCTTGGAGAGGGCGTGGAAGGAAGCTGATGTCAGCTACTGCGGCCTCGCACAGGATGTCCAGTTGAAGAGGACTTCGAGCCCTGTGTTGTCTCTCAGGAAGCCGACCTCGACACTTCCTTGAGCTAATGTGCTCGCCATGTTATTAGGACATATGAAGATAAATCCTTGAAGATGTAAAACCTCTTAGTTTAAAAAATATGTGTCAAGCAATGCACTGTCGCAATATTTAGTAGCCACCCTGTAAATATATACATAATATTATAGGGGGCGGGGGGGCCAAAAAAAAGTACTCTTTGGCCCTCCACTCTCAGAGTGGATTTAAGCGACCTTTTTACTCTCAACTCGACCGAAGGTTCCAACTTATTAGGTTGGAAAGGAAAGTTCCTTAACAGCTCACTGCGCGCTTCTTTCTGGATTTCTCAGTGCTGCTGGCATCTTCCATGTGGTGATGTATAGTAGGAGTGGACGCGCTGCTCGTACGGTGATCAATCAGCTTCCACTATGGCGTTTGCATGGCACTAAATCAACTTTTCCCGCCAGACACTCGGCGGCTCATTCGGTACAAGCTGCCGCCTAGAGGATATCTGCCACCAGAGTGGTCGGATCAGTCCCGGTAGGCCTGGCACGTTTCTTCCACTATGGCGGTTTCGGCCTTGGTTTTAAAGCTTCCGCAGCGAAAGACTTTGATCTTTTCTGACGCCAACACGGAACTACTCGCCGGCATTTTGCCGTTTGCCGGTATTTTTCCACGTGATGATCTGTCTGGAGGATGACGGTACAGAGGGCTTCCCCCCCAATGCTAGCTGCTCGAAAAGATCTGCAGTAAGCTTCGCCGAATATAGCGACAAGTCAACACTCGTTCACGACAACGCGGCAACGTCGCGGGTGGTTCGGCGTCTCACAGCGCACATCAAGACTCTGATCCAGGGCAGGACCGCGGCTGCCCGTCTGCCATATTCGTCAAACCTCTGCTAATAAGACACCTCTTCATCCCTTTCCTGGCTCATTTACCTTGAGAACAGGAAGCTCGCACGCGTTAAACGACGCAAAGGTCGCGACACCACGGTTGTTTGGGCAAAAATCTTCCTAATTCTAATTTCTGCGGTGTCACCCAAATGTCCGAAGGTTGCGTTAGTGTTCGTTGTATCGAATGTGTCAAATATGGTTATGGATCATAAACTAAATTCAAAATTGATGCTACAAGTGTTTAAGGAACTTCCTTCAACCCCTAACTATTATTAAAGGTGCATTCCATTCTATAAGACCAATCTTCACTAGTGCCAACCTACGTGGGACGGCATCAGAAGAATTAGCCGCTGGAAACATGGTGCATCTGGTCGAGTTCTCAAATGGGTCTTCGAAGTGATCGTGTACGTCACTATACGACCTACTGGTAAAGCTAAGTTCCGAGGGATTTGCAAGCAGGTGGAGCTAATCCCTCTAGAAAAGCTATCCACATTAAATCGATTCACAGAATGCGTAAGAGCTTCAGCCTGAAGCTCTACGGGTAGACACTCCTTGAGCCTGACGACGTTGACAAAATGACGTCAAATCTGAAGACTGTGAGGGCAGTTGAAGGAGAGGCCTGTCGTACAGTAATAGAGGAACATTAGGGAATACTCTGCTAATGACTCCCGTCAACGACAGCACTCTATGCGAAGAAAAAATAGGCCGCAGTCGCCCCATAGGCAAAATGTCTTTTTTTTTTTGCGCCCCCCCGCCTGGTATATAATATATATTAATATATACTATTTATATATATCTATATAATATTATTATATACATATTTATATATATATAGATTATATATACTATATTATATATGATCTTCTTTGGTGGTGATGTCCGTTCTCGCAAAGTTGTTCCACTGAAACTGCTCTCCCGTCTTTGTGAGCTTGAGCCGACTACGCCATCGAATGCAGGCCACAGGCCCCGTGACATGGCTCGGCCTAGAACACGCCATCCACATCACAATGTCAATGTCGCTACGAGTTCTCGAGATAATGCTACGGCGTCCGCGGGAGCCGTACGCGCACGTCGCAGAAGCCGCGGCGAGGTGCAAGAGTAATGCGAGGGTCATGCGGTGCAAGGACGGCATCGGGGCAACTAGGCTATCCAAAGTGTCGCAACGTATGGCAAGACATCCGCGTGCACCACTCTTTAAATGTTGGCGCACCATTTAACGAGACGCTGCGCACGAGTTAGGAGAAGCTCTGGAGGCGCCGAAGAATTGATTTCTGTGGCCGTGCAGGAAAGGGCTACGAGGTGTCCGCTGCAAGTCGAGGGACATTGGCGCGCGCTTTAAGGGGCATGCGTTCTAAGTTGTGGCGGTCCCATGACCACCAATGCGTTCGGATGATTTGTCTGGCTGAATTCGCTTTTCGTGATTTGATCGAGTGTTGAGCGCTTCGAGCGAGCCCGTTTTAAATGTAAGATTCGTTGTCGTCATGCGAACATCAAAAATACTCATTTCTTCTCTGCGTACGCCCACGCAGACTGGATGCTCCGAGCAAAACAAGACAAGTTCTGAACCTGCTTGATCGAAAACAGCTGAGGTACGTCACAAGAAGCCATAATGTTGCCGGTGACTCATTGCCACTGTGGCGCTACGAAGACGTTTATAGCTGTCATGGTGGTTTTGTTATGGTCACAGTAATACTTGATTGGCCGAATTCCTGATATGCACGACTCCGCATAATCTTCGGCCCTCGTAACACGACATTTCGATAAACGTGCCTCACAATCTAATATCTACATTCGTAGCGTAAAACCCGAACACGTATTTTGTCCTTTGTTAGCACCGTGATCAAGGGCTCGTAACGGCGCAAAAGTAGTACCGTTATGTAAATCGGTCGTCCCATCCACACCGACCATTATTTGTACGCTAAAATGCGCCCCAGCACGCGAGATCCGAACAGCCGAAAGATGTGGCCAGCAAGTATCAGCATGTGGCGGACTGAAGGAGAAAGAAGCGGTCCGTCGTGTTTCCCGCCTTCGACTGGCCAGCGTAACGACTGTCGACGACACTTGAAAGGTGCTGCCGAAGGATCAACCAGGTTTGCGCGATCCGAGCTCGGCATGACGAAGCCTGGACGGAGAAAGGTTGATAACAAACATCCCGGCGTGACGGATAATAAAGAGAAAGTAAAGAGAAGAAAAAGCGCTAAGCCGTATCGCTTTCTTTCGGAGAAGACAGCCGGTGCGGCAGCGCTATCAGATAGCGAAAGAAAGAGGCAAAGAAGGCGTTGCTTCTGCGAAAGCGCTCATTGTGCCGATGCTTCAATGAGGAACTTCGATCGCGCGGTGGGTGAAGCGTACATTTACGACTCGCAAAGACGGCCGCTATCTGCCAGACTCGAGGATATAACAATTCCTTCGCATAATGAGGCGAAAGGTCACACGTTCTGCCGGACACGCGGAGAAAGCATTGCAGCGAGTGTGAAACTTCGAAGAAAATCAAAGTTGCGAATTGCGCTCATCATCCGCCACCTTGCGCTCCGCCAGTACACGGCCCGTTCAGAAGATAACAGGAGCGGACCCAATACGGGCATGCAAAGATGAAATCAAGGTCAAAGCGACTGCCTGACGACTTAGGTCGGCCGACTTTGTGGAATCAAAGTCTGGAATCCTGCAACAGCTGTTGACGCGGTTCTTCAACCAGGTCCGTTTGCAGTTAGAAGAAGGACGGCCTGAGAGCTTGGCAACAGAGCACCGACGATTCAATCTGGAAGAAAAAAGGCAGTCTTGACTGCC